ACAAGGAGTGCATCCCCCAACTAGCAGTATCTGATTTTTGCAGGCAAACAGTTAGAGGATGGCTGCACTCTCTGAGACTACAATATCCAGAAAGAGTTCACCCTGTAATGGGTGCTTTGTCTGTGGGGCTGCATCATCACATCATCGAACCTTCCCTCCTCTAGCTCACACTGTCACAACTGGGACATGATTACCTGCTCCAAGTGTTATGCTTGCCTGCAGCCCCGCGCTGTCAATTGCTGCAAGAAGCGCAGTCACACCAACAACCTGTGCCCCAAGAGGATGGTCAACTAAGGCCCTTCCATCAGCTTTTCCTTTGCCCACAGGGCAGCCTCCTGCCCAAGCCCCGTGGCCTGTAGCTTCAATAAAGTTTCCCTTACATTGAGTGGGAGGAAAAAAACAACAACAACAAAGAGCCTGTTTTGAAGCCAGGCACTGACTTCTTCTCTAGCTATGAAAATCCTAAAGGCATCTTCCAATGGCATCTGTTGTTTAATGTAGCCACCTTCATTAATTATCCTCTTGATCTTCTGGAGAACTTGCTGCAGCTTCTACATCAGCACTTGCTTCACCTTGCACTTTTATGTTATGGAGATGGCTTCTGTCCTTAAACCTCATGAACTACCCTGCTAGCTTCCAACTCTTCTTCTGCAGCTTCCTCACCTCTCTCAGCCTTCATGGAATTGAAGAGCTCTGGATTCAGCTTTGGTCTAAGGGAATGTTGTAGATGGATTGATCTTCTATCCAGATTACTAAAACTTTCTCCGTATCAGCAATAAGGCTGTTTCACTTTCTCATCATTCATGTGTTCACTGGAGTAGCATTTTTAATTTCCTTCAACAGCTTTTCCTTTGCCTTCACAACTTGGCTACATGTTTGGTGCAAGAGGCCTATCTTGGCTTTTGACATGCCTTCTTCACTAAGCTTAATCATTTCTAGTTTTTGATTTATAATAAGAGATGTGAAACACTTCCTTTCATGTGAACACTTAGAGACCATTGTAGGGGTTATTAACTGGCCTAATTTCAATATTGTTGGGTCTCAGGAAATAGGAGGTCTAAGAAGAGGGAGAGGTATGGGGAAAAGCCAGTCAAAGCAGCCAGAACACACACAACATTTTTTAAGTTTACCATCTTAAATGGGCATGATTTGTCGTGCCTCAAAACAATTACAATAATACATCAAAGATCACTGATCACAGATCACCAGAACAAAAATAATGATGAAAAAGTTTGAAATGCCGTGAGAAATACCAAAATGTGACAAAGAGACACAAAATGAGCAAATGCTGTTAACAAATAGCACCAACAGACCTACTAGATGCAGGACTACCACAAACCTTCAAGTTGTAAAAAATGCAATTATCTGCAAAGCACAATAAAACAACGTATGCCTGTAATTGTTTTGTATAATTTATTTCCTCTGGCTCACCATTTTGGACTTCTCAAACATAACATTTTTAGACACATCCCTTTTACCTACAATTTATAAAGCTTTTGCAAATATAGTACATATTAACAATTACTTCTGTAAACATATTTTAAAACACTTTTATCTTAATACTTGATTGCAAAGCAAACCTTCACACCTTTGGAAAATAAAATCCCATTTGTGTAACATTTCAAAGTTAAAAAATGTTTGTGACAGTGTGAATTACATGTCACATTATTCTACTAAATTGTTAGTCCATGAAAGTAGGGATTTTGTCTTGTTTACCACTATAATCCCATCTAGACCTAGCATCATACCTGTGCAGAGTAAACACTAAGTGCTTGTTGAATTAATGAAAAATATTTATTATCTGTTATGTGCAGTGGGAAGCACTATGGGAAATAGCAAAGATGTATAAGATGATGCCCCCAGTTCTAGGAAGCTCACAATGTTATCCAGGAAATGAGCCATGCATATAAACTGCTACAGAATGCAAAATAGAGAGGCAGCATAATGTAACAATTGAAAGCACTGACTCTGCAGTCAGACCTTGGTTTCAATCCAGCTCTACCCCTTACTAGGTATGTGACTTCAGGCAAGTTGATATACTTCTCTAAACCTCATTTTCCTTATTTATAAGATGAGGATAATCAATATCCCTTTACATACTGGCTGCTAGAATTAAAGGAGGTAATATATGTAAAATCATTAGTATAATGCATGGTATATAGTAAGTATGCTCCCCAAAAAGTGAGAACTATTATTATGAGAGTCTGTTTAATGTCCTAGGAGTAGGAGTTAACAGAGAAAACTCATTCCCTCTGGTTTGAGTGAGCAAGCTTCCTGATGAATTTGAGTCTTAAAGAATAAACAGAATTTCAAATAGCTGAAGATGAAACAAAGACCATTCTCAGTAGAGGAAATGGCATAAGCAAAATGGGAAACCACAGGTGTTTGAGGAAATGGTATTTGGAACAGGTAATTACTTTTCTTAAAGTAATGGTATTTGAGAAGAAACCATTAAGAAAGGACTGAGTATAAGGCTAAATGGCCCCCTGATGAAAACTGAAAACCACTAATGAAAAAATAATTCAGTAAATTTCTTGGAACTGTTAAAATATTTTATTTACCCACTTGGTCACACATTTCCTAATTTCTTAGCCAAGGAGTCTTCTTGTGATTCTATCAGAAATTGACTAGTATTAAATGAATACCTGCAGAATGGCTTGATGGTTGGCAATAATTCTGGCATTTTCCATACTAACAGTCTCAAGCATGCTGTTCAGCTCTGAACACTTTCTAGTCAGCTGGTCATTCGAAACCTAAGATGATATGTACAGCAAGTCATAGATCTCTCCAGTAAATAATTATTTTTACTTACCATATTTTTAATGATGGTATAGTATTTCACTCTGTATGTGAACCTAATTTATTTAACTTATCTCCAACTGATATTTCATTAGGTAATACCTTCAAATATTTGGAATCAACACCCCACATAATTCTAAATCAAAATGTTCATCTGGTGGAGCAACTGAAGCATTCAACAGTTTACTGATCTCCTGTTCACAATTTTGAACACTGGTGAGACAGAGCGAGATATATATGGAATGGACTTTACAATGTAGATGCCTAGCCAATATTACAGAAATTCATTCCTAAAATTAGATGAGCATTCATAATTGTTTAGCTAATAATACAAACTGTCTAAGCTCTTTTACCACCAATTACAGTATCCATAAAAGCAAAATATAGATAATTGTACCTTTTCACAAGACAGATCATCCAAAACAAAAGTCTTTTGTGCAACAAATTTATCAGATAATTCTGTTGTCTTTTTGATATTTGAAATTTTTATTCCTGAGGAAAACATTTATCTTATTTATCAGTTATTTTTGCAAAGTGTATTTGTCAAGGATTTTTTTTTTTTTAGGTTTAAGCCCAATAGAGGGCTTGAACTCATGACCCTGAGATCAAGACCTGAGCTAAGATCAAGAGTCAGACACTCAACAGAATGAACCACCCAGGCACCCCAAGGATCTTATCTTTTATTTTATTATTGTTTTTTAAAGATTTTATTTATTTGACAGAGAGAAAAAGCGAGAGAGAGAGAGCACAAGCAGGGGGAGTGGGAGAGGGAGAAGCAGGCTCCCCACTGAGCAGGGAGCCCGATGGTGGGGCTCGATCCCAGCACCCTGGAATCATGACCCAAGCTGAAGGCAGACGCTTAACGACTGAGCCACCCAGGCACCCCAGATCTTATCTTTTAATGAACAAGTTCTTCAAGGATGGGGATAAATAACTCTATAGGATCAATTAAAAAAAAAACACTCAAAAAATGATAACAAGAAAGTAAAGAAATGAAAAACTATCTGGGAAGCATAAGTGGTAGTATAGTAAAGAAGTAAGGAACACATTCAGAGCATTTTAAAATTATAACCAGATGTACAAACTATTCACCAAGGAATACCTAGAGTTAAGACAGAGATGAACTCCTGATCCTTGAAAAGAATAATTTTCTTTGGAGCCAGAATGCCTAAGCTCAAATTCTAACTCTGCCATTTATTACCTATGTTATTGAACTTTTCTGTATATCAACTTCCTTATCATTAAAATGAGAATAGTAAGTTTCTATAGTAGTGCTATTACAAGCATTACAATTTGTTAGTAACATAAGGTGCTTACAATTATGCCTGGAACATAGAATGGGTTTGGTAAATGTTAATTACTACTACCATAGCAAGAGTAGTAATTTTCATTATTATTTTATAAAATAACACATTTCTTTTTTTTTTGGTTTTATTTATTTATTTGACAGAGAGAGACATAGCGAGAGAGGGAACACAAGCAGGGGGAGTAGGAGAGGGAGAAGCAGGCT